CACCAAAAAAAAATCTCTTGACTTTTTCTCTGGGGTTTTCCTGCCTTAAATGTCAGCAGAGCTCAGCTCTGGGGAAAGCCAGTGGCTTACAGGTCTGAATCAAGGAGAATGCACTTGCTCTACCAACTAGGACACTTCACCCCATCCAGGAGGCACAGGGGGAAGGGGAGATTAATTTTTAAAAGTTTCTGCATTCACTGGGATGCAAGTTTACTCACCTCCACTTCAGCAAGCTGCGCTGAACAATCTAGTCCTTGCTGTTGTTTAATCACTGTTTCTTATCTGGCTCTGTGAGGGGGAAGAAAAGCTGGAAATTACCCAGAATTACAACCCTGACACAATGCCTCTGATGAGAACACAAAGCTTCCCTAGACCTATGCTGAGGAAGTGGCTGTTGTTTTGTTTATGTGTTTGTTTCTAATGAATATACTGATACAGATGCACTCTGGGGGGACTCATGAGCCAAGATTTGTGAAAAGGAAACAAGATTATTAGATGGGACACCAAGCTGCAGACACTTCCCAACTCGTACTGAGGCATTGCTCTGTGAGTGTGTGTGTGTGTGTGTGTGTGTGTGTGTGTGTGTGTGATATGTTTATGAGTGCACATGAGTGTGTTTCAGCCAAATGTCAACATAGATGTCTTCCCAAAGCCCTCCACCTTCTTTTTTGAGACAGGTGTCTCACTGAACCTAGAGCTCACTGACGCAGGTGGACGGGCTGGCCAGAAAGCCCCAGGGTCCTCCTGCCTCAGCCTCCACAGTTCTGCCGGTTACCACATCACTATGCCAGTTTTTAGGAGGGTGCTGGGGACCAAACCCAGGTCCTCAGGCTTACATGGCAAGCTCTTTACCAACTGAGCCATCTGCAAAGCACAGTTAGTCCACCTTTAAAAGACTTAGGCTCTTGCTGCCCAATGTGAGAAAACAAGTTAACTCCTTCTGTCCTTTGCATCTAAACCCAGATCCAAACAGCTCAGTTTAGAAGCTGTTGTCACTTTGGCTATGTTTCCTACTTCCTATTGCCTTGCCACCATTACCTCAAGCTTTCTTCCTCGCTGTTTTCTGCACCCATGTCCTCAGGCAAGGCCACAGGGAATGTCTGTCTATATCCAGGAAAGTAGCTTGCTTATTACTCTACCAGGACACTGTTATGGGAAGATGAGAAAAGCCTACTCAGTTACAAATGGGATAGCCATCCCTAATAAAAACTACCTCTGGTGGCTAAAGAGTTAAGCCCTGTTCTGTCTTAGGCCACTGTCAATGAGTATAAGAGGTGGTGCCAAATGGGGTGGCTCCTCCCTTGATGGAAACACTCCCCCCTTAGGAACTGGACTGTCAACACATCAGCCAGCCAGAGAAAAGGGAAACCGTGGCAACCAAGTTTTGCTGGCACTTTGTGAGGTAGTAACGGGAACTGCAAAGGCCATGCAGAGCATACTGATGAGCCCAGGGAACCTGCAAAAAAGTCATCCCAGCACCCCACAGCCCACCCTGCCCCCAGTACCTGGACCTGTGAAGTCTGAGACCTCAGTACATGATGTGTTCACAGAGCACTGAGCCCATCAGGACTCCTTGAGTTCAGATACCTCATAAACACAGGGCCTCCATGGTCAAGGCAGTTACACTTGGCATATCTGCTTAGAAGTCAGGGTTTTAATTGGGGAGGAAAATGCACAGCATTTTAAAATCTAAACAGTAACCTCATGAGTCGACATGAAATGCTTCAAAGGGTCTTTGTGGGTTCTTGCGAAGTCTCCCTACCCACCCTCATCAGAATATTCTGACCTTAGGAAGGATGTCCTTAAAGGTTTCACAGTAATCACATAATGAACCATACTCTGAAGGAAGCCCATGCAAGTGATGTTACATGGGGATTATCGAGAATAGGCATTCAAGTGCTCCTCTGGAATTCTCATTCAAAAATGTGATTCATTTTCCTAAGTAGAGATGAGTGCTTTGTACACATTGCCTTGTCTCATGCAAACAAGTTGGACACCCAGAGAAAAGATGACAGAGTGAAAAGTTGTTCACTTCTAAATGTCTTTCTTATACTGCTCAAAAAAACACACACACACACACACACACACACACACACACACACACAAACACACACACACACCATGAAGAAATCAGTTAAGTTCCAGAGAAGCCCCCCGGTAGAGGTATTTATCACAGTTTTAGTTGTTGAGTTGAGCAATTTATTCCTGATAATCATTATATTGATTAGCCAACACTGATTAATTACTAAGACACACTCATAAACCAGGGGTTAGGATTAGTTCTTGGCTATGCACCTGGGGTCTATCAAAGGAAAAAAATCTTAACAATGATCTGGTAGGGCGTGTAGATATTTCCCTTACCCCCCTGGAGCTCACCAGGCAGGAACAGCTTCATGCAGCCTCAGACATGCATGTAGAGGGGACATACACTCTGTCATCTCCCTGCTGTGACAATCTTACAATCCTGAGTAATTTCTGAGCACTGCACTTTGAACAGCCAAGTATGTAGAGTCAGCCCTGTTCCCAAGTTTCCAAATATTAAATTTTATCTACTGTTCCCAATAATTCTGTCCCTATGTAACCTCAGTTTTTACAATCTGTTGCTTCATATAGAGAAATTATTATAATAATCACTATTATTATTGAACTCAAGGAATAGAGAATCTTCTCAGCTCACATATTTCACTTGAAACTCAATGTCTAGCTCATAACTCATCTGAATTGCTGGATCATACAAATCCATTTTCTATTAGGTGCTCAGATTCAATAAGAAATCAACAAGGCAAATCTTCCCCAATTCTTGGTGATCAGAATGAACCAAATAAACTCGTAGGGAAGTCTTCACTTGAAAAGCTCGGTAGCTAAATAAGTTTGTCAGCAAGTGCTTTGCATTCCTCAAATGCCCTGTGTCTATAGTGATCAGGTACAGGGACGGTTTCTAGTTCAAATATAACCTAGTGATTACCACATGGTGCAGAATCTTTCCACCCCTACACTCCAAAAACCCAATCAGACAAGTGCCTGTAATCTGACTCCCAGTTCACTGGAGCCCAGGGGCAGGCAATGAGAGCTGCACTCTGGCCAGGGACGGCATGAGTGACAGAGCTGCGGCAAGGCGGTGGGGGTAAGTCCTTCTTTGATTTAAGGAAACAATGCTGCACAGTAAAAGATGAAGCTCTTTCATTGCAGATATCTGTGTCTTCTCACACAGAATCTAGAAGGTGACAACAGGACAGGTTTGGGGGGGTCTTTTAAGGCTGGGGACTAAGTTCAGGCACAATAGAAGCAGAGGGAAAGGAGAAAAAAAAAGATGCTTTTAGCATGGGAAATTGTAATTTTTTTCACTAAAATACTTACTCACAAGGAAAATGTCCAGGAGTGGATGAGACTTGTTCAGTAGCATGTGGAGTGTCTGGTTCATATCAACAAATCCCCCTTTGTTCTGCAGCAAAAAAAAAAAAAAAAAAAAAAAAAAAAAA